CAGTCCATATCAGCCAATGCTGTTGACTGCAAGGATATCAAAGCAGTATTTCAACCCTAGTATGTCAAGAGAGCAAATAGCTGCATTCTGACTTGCCAGTCCATGCCAAGTCTAAGTGGCAATGCTGCCCTCAGGTACTGATGATGCATTGGATGGGGAAAGACAACATAGTTACACAATTTTTGCCACTAACTATGTAGCATTCATGAGTCATTTCTGTAGCTTAGCTCACTGTTGCAGGCTGCTCATAAATGCATTGGTGCGGGATTAGGTAATGTGTTTCTTGGGCTGCGCAAAGTAGATGACATAATGCTGGGTGGCATACTGATGAGTGTGGTAAGTTTGTGAGTGTCATTGGCCAATACAAGAAAATACTGATTTCATGCTAGCCAGTTTCCTGCTAGTAAAAATTTGCATATAACACTGCTTATGTGACAGATTTGGCAGTGCTGACTGCGCAACTCCTGTGTTTCAAGTGCTATGGCTTGTGCTGTAGCTGCAAAGCCTATGAGTCCCGCACAGATCATTTTTCCAACGGAGTCCATCTTCCTCCTCGCCCTCAAAGCTGTCTCGCGCCCACCATGGCTCGTGACATTCGCCATCCATACGCAGAGTACCGGCTTTTTTCTTCTTGTTTTGTTCAGTTCGCCTCAAAAGCGCAGTTTTCGCCCATAACCCGTTCCTTGGTTCGAACTAAGCGGGATCGAACTATCGACCGTTAATCCGACGTAAAGCCGGTTTCGCCCATGTAAACGCCCCTCGCCGAGAGGGTTAACGTCGCATGATCCGTTCCGATCTTAATTCGAATTATCCTCGGCTGCCCATGTAAACCGGGTAAATGTGTTCTGGACCGAGGGTTCACCCCAGGCGCCTCTGTGGCGGCAGGACCTATTGGGTTGAAAAATGACGGACAGGCCAATTGACTTGCCCTCATTTATCGTCATCATTTGCATTTTCTTATGAAATCTAGACAGCTTCCTTAGCAGGGAGAATGCCCGACCCTCCCCGAACGAAATGAAGACAATGGCAGCTACTGCCCGTGATCTAGTTTGCCGTTAACGAGCTGTAGCCCAAAGATACAATTAATGGAACGTTAATGGGCTGATCAAATGAAAGACCTCGGAGATGCCAAAGCCACCTTGAATAGATGTACATGGGAGAAACACGATTTTTCCTTTATTGGGATGCAGCCCGGTATGTCCGTCTCACCACTTTCTTGGACAGAGTGCGTCGAAGTGAGGCGCAAGCACAGAGTGTTGCACGCTTGCGGATTGCTCTGCTTCCTCTGGTCAACTCCTGACGGTTCTAGCCGTCTGAGCCCTGACTATCTGGCGATACACGTCATAAGAAGATGTCACGATTGCCTGTGTATCGGTGTGTTTGTAGCTGGGTGGCACTGCTGCCGGCGACTGGTAATTAACGCGTACAGCGGCCTCTGATTGGTCCTTATCATCAGTTAGTCACATTACCGACACAACATCCATCATTACCTAACACGGAACGCTTACGAATATCTAGAGAAAGCGGCTCCTATGTGAAGTGGGTACACGGATAACAAGGCATACCTTTTAAGGCATAATTAGGAGATTTTCGTGATTTTACTTCAGCGGCCAACAACAGATTCTGACAGTCGGCGACTTCCAACGCATTGATAGAATGGCAACGATAGCATTTACCAGGCGGTAATACACCAGTTCAATTAAGACCCAGAAGCAATCAACATCAAATTTCCTTTGCGCGTCTTTTCCAGCCCCGGCATTGGCTTAAAATCTTGGAAACTCCGTTACAAGCATTTCCCAAGACAGAGGGTTTCTAGGAATGCCATTAGATATCACGGAAGATCGTTCGTTGAAACTGCACGGCCGCGGTAAATTGCCGCATGCTACCCAGAACCTGCTCCGAACTACTAGTTGCTTTTATGCGAACGCAAACTTCGAAGTTTGCTGCAAATGCCAGCAAGCTGCTCTCTTGAGCTGATGCCAAGCTACAACTGAGAAAACTTTGGGTCGAAGAGGTCAACTGGGATTTCAAAGATGAATAGCGTACCGAAACGCGCACATCCGCGAGTCTTCTAAGGTTGAAAATTTGAATGTTTGTCGTCTCGCCGAAAAGGTTTTCGTGAAGCAATGACGGTAAACGAAACACGGCGCCACTTGACAGACTTTTCCCCAGCTCAGTGGTCCGTCGCAAGGTGTCAGTTCCGTTCTCACGCCTCGCTCTCGGCGGCGTGTGAACGGAACGGGGAGCAATGCGGCGTGCAGCGCCGCTAAACCGCCGCTCACACCGCTGCTGCGGGGAAAGGCGAGGTCACACAGGCCAGGTGAGGCAGCCGAGGCCCGGGGCCTGAAGAAAGGTCGCTCTCAGCCCTGTCAGAACAGTGAACTTCTCTTGCAATGTTGACACGAGGCAACGGCAAACAACTATCCTTAAGGTAATACCGGATACCAAACACCTCTCGCCGTGGAAGGCTAGTCAGGTTTTTTTGTAAAATCAGCCCATTTCTGACGTGTCGGGTTTGGCGCTTTGATAATTCAGAAAGCTTTTACATATTCAGCCGTACCCTGACGCGTCCAGGTTGGAGACGTGAGTGTTATCCAGAACATAACTTGTGCATTGTGCAAGTGCTGACCCGACCAGGAAATGCTTGCTCTAAAATGCTGGATCCAGCGCTGGATCCACGGGCACCGACCCAGACTCCAGAACCAGTCAACTACGGTACAAGCCGCCAGCCGGCCAAAAATGGTCAGTGCACAACTAACCAAGCATTTGGCTGGCGCATTTTTCACCACCATAATCTGCGGCCAAACCGAGCACTGGCCAGCGCTCAGTGACCAACTGACAACAACGCAATGATATGCCCGTCGCCACAGCCGCGGACGTCATGGGAATGGAAGCTGATTTTGACGCCCGCTGCGTGAAGAGTAACTGCACGACAGCGGGATCATTTCTAGCCTTCATGCACTCTGGCCACCTCTACAAACTGGTGTAAGAACCGCGCGACTTTGGTTGTGGTCGTAACCTTACAACGTAGGACTTCTCACGACTGGAAAACCATTTGAGATGCATGGTCCTGGCAGAGTGGCAAGGGGCATTTCTGCAGTGGAACACGCTTATGTACACCCACCAACCACCGATTCACAAATTGGGACCGATTGGGAGAATCGTTGTTTTGAGTCGTACCTTGCCATCACAACCTGTATGGTGAGGATCGCTGCTCTCCACCACGTCGACTTTCAGACAGCCTCACTAGCGGAAAAAACTTCTTCAAGACACGATACACCTTGCGAGTCCTCGTACGGCTGCGTGTGTCCGTCACCGGTGCTAAGTAAATAGTTCTCAGCCCTTATGCCGCTCGAACACCGCGCTGTTTCTGAATGAGTCTGTCGGCCGAGCTGCGCAGCGCTCGGTAGCAGCTGGCGCTGACACGTCTCATGTCAGCTAGGCTCCCCGACACGTACGAGTCACATCCGGCGCCGAGTTTTAATCGAACACCTCACGTGTCGGTCGGACCCTCGAGCTGTCGACGCCTATTTTACTCGGACCGGCCGCTTCAAAGCGGCAGATCAGAGGCGCCGCCGGCTGACCCGGCTGATGCTCGGCAGCACGCGCCGGACGCGGTCACCTGCCCTGGCACCGTGCCAGCGCTGGCGTCTGCCGGCGCACAGCAGAACGGCGCGCCTAGCTCGCAGCCGGCAGCGGCTTCTGCTTGGAGCGGCCGATGAATAGGGATGGAGCGCGCTTCGAGCGATGGCGTACCAAAGCCAATTAAAGGCAATGAGTTATTTGATTTAATTTATGGATTATTGATAGTTCTTAAAAATAATGGCTGGACCATCGATCATCATTATTATTAGAATGCAGTTAGATGTGCTACTTAAACTATTATGCAGCGGGAAATAATGGTGGTCATATGTAGTGGACGCGTGGCACAAGTCAGACCGGCGCTAATAGTCCATCGTCTCTAGATGGACGCTGCTGAGAGGCCCCCAACGAGGCGGCTCGATATTCCCAAAGCAGGTCGCCGAGGAGACCGCCGAGATAGCCGATGCATACGGCGTCGCGACTCGGTGAAAACGAGATCAGGCGCAGAGAGCGTGGCACCGCGGCGGCGGCCGGATTTCCTTTTATGTGACCGAGCTCAGAGGGCAGGTATATCGGGTTAGGCATTCTAGATGGATGTCCCGCGCATGCCACCGTGCCGTTTCGGTGACGCCCAGACGACTGAAGACGCTGACAATATCGCCATCGGGCAGCGGCCAGCCGGCACGTCGGAGCCCGCACCGTATCCGCCCATCGGCCTTCGGGGATCGACAGCGGGCCCCGGCTCCGGCGCCGATGGCCAGTGGCGAGAAGCTGCAAGTGACAGGCAATGGCGACACACGCGGAAGGCGTTGACTCTCTGAGACCACGCCAGTGCAGTGCCGGCAGACGACGGGCGTTTTCTGTCAGTCGCAAGCGCCCAGACGGCAGTAGGATTCAGGAAGCAAGTTTTACAACTGTCACACCCGACAGAAGCTGGCACAAAGTTGCCGCCGCCATTTTGGAACACTCAAAGATTGGATCAAACATTAAAAAACAGAGCGTAGACGCTGTCGGAGTTAAAGGCGATCCCGGCGTTATTCTGGTGAGCAACGCGGCTGTAATAGGCAAACTTTGAAGCTGTGACGGCCTCCGAGGATTGTGGGGAAAAAACTTTGGAGCGTCCGTCGACAGTAGGGCCGCCTTACGTGTTATTGCAATCGGAGCCTCAAAGCGTGCTGTAGACGGCATACATTACAGGGCAACGATTTCCGCAACGGCTTCCGTTGCAGGTCAACCAAGCTATCAACAGCCTTGGACTTCACAACAACGGGTGGCACAGTAGGTTTGCAGGGCTCGACATGCTTCTAAGGCGCTAATCCGGCGGCGACACCCATGGGTAGTCCGCTACAAGCTGTCACACCGGGGGCGCGCACACTGGCACCTCTATAGACACATGTGTGAACACGTGAGTGACTCACTTGTCGTGTCCAGGTCAGCCAAGGACCACGGCGCGGCGGCCAGCAACAGCAGCATCACTCGCAGCAGCATGGCGACTTCTCGGAGCGCACCGAGCGCCGCGGTCCGCCGGACGCGGCGGACCTGTGCCGACCTCCAGCCGGGCCCCGGGCGCGGAGGCAGCGGCGATGCACCGCCTGCTGGCACCGGGAGCAGGCGGTGGGCTCAAGCGTGCCGGGACAGCAGCGCTAGAGCTCCGCGCTGACGGAGAGACGCACGGACCTCCGTACACGGCTCCTCGCCTGCCGCTGGGTCGACCCGAACGGCTGGCCTGCTCGGCTCTAGCAGGTTGGACCGGTCATCCCCTGAAACACGCGTCAGGCAGGGTTCGCAGCGGGTCTGGCGGTGATGTGATGACGTGAGAGTGGCTGCAGTACACGCGTCAGGCAGGGTTTGCAGCGGGTCTAGCAACGACGTGATGGCGTGAGAGCGGCTGCGGTACACGCGTCAGGCAGGGTTCGGAGCGGGTCTAGCAACGACGTGATGACGTGATTGCGGCTGCAGCACACGCTCAGCCGGCCATGTTTGGAATACGAACGTCCATACGATCATAACATTACGATCCACGAATTGCAGTTAGTTTACGCAGCGGCGTGCTTGTAAGTCGTTTTAAATTCAACCGTTGAACTTGGGCGTCAGCGCGCATCTGTAAAAACTATTTTGTCGCTCTGCAAATCCGTGACATATCGTGAAGACCAAACGCTTCCGCAATGACCATTATTGGCCGATTTCGCCATCGCTGGCGTCGGCGACAAATTGGCGCGCCATCGTCGAAGCGATAAGGCGGTATCAGGTGTCATTCGGCAGGAGCTTATCGCGGTACTAACGACCAACCGGGTACAAACACGCAGGTCAATAGCACCTGCCGACCGGGGACGGACGTGATTGGTCGAGACGGCAGGCAGGCGGGCCGGGGAGCGGCGGGCGGCCGGCGGCACTCGTGTTCTCATGGGGGCATTATTGAGGCTTGTGAAGGAAAAATTCAAACTTGCTCGCCTCTTCCGTTCAGCGACGAGGCAAACAAGCGAAACAATGCGCATAAGTTGGCAACGTTCCATTTTATTATGGACACTGCTGGTCTTCACTTCGGCACAACGGACCACACCCAACGTGCAAACGTTTGTCCGGTGGTCCCTTCCGAATGAATTGCCCAATTATCTTTCTGATTCCGTCTGCTGCGGTCACTGGCTACAGGCAAGGGAAAATCGTGGTTCCAAGGCGAGCAGCGTGGATTGTAACTCAACGTCAAGCAACATCCCCCTCCCCACCCTCCAGGCCACCCTGGGCGGTTGTGACCCGCCAAAAACACCGAGCCGGCCCCACCCTCCCCGCAGAAACGCAAGGAGCGTCTGGTGGCCTGACTGCACGGCTCAGGCGAGCCTCAGCGCCGGACACACTGGTAACGGGTCAACTGCTGTGACGTGCGTTCGCAGAGCTAATGAGCCGTGTCCAAACACTTGTCGGCTTATCGCGCCACTGGCTGCAGAGTAAAAAACGATGTTTGATTTGAAGATACGTTGGCGCCGCACCGCCGGACCGGAATCGGTCCGACGCTGGCCAATCAGTGCGCGTACTGCCAGAGCGTGCACCGGCGCGGGCAGACGCGCGCGCGGAGAGCGCCAGACCCAGACAGGAACTCGCCGCAATCGTAAACGTATGACTTTCGGCTTAGCTCCGTCTTGTCAACGTTAAGATAAAGCCATCAGTGTTTTCTTCCTTAGATAAGGATGAGATAAGACGAGCATTCTTGCGATGTTTTTACTTCGCACGGTGATCGCGTGTTACTAGGTACCTCTGCTTCGTCTTCGTATTTCATGATTTCTTGCATAACGTTCTCTGTTCTTGTATAACGTTCCCGTCTCACTTCATGGCAGTGAACTTCTATCAAATCACATTATGACCCATCACGGCTCGTAAACAAAACGCTAAAATGGTGGAGGGCCGCATGCAACCAGCCTAACAAAACATATATATTATCCATCATTTTCGCATTGACGCTTCCGTCCGGTATTGGGGTCCTGCCGCGTTTACGACGACTAATGACGCGGCGAGCCACCCCCGCCCCTTCAGTCCAACGGGGCCGACCCGGTACCACCCACAGCAGCTCCTCCACCGAAGCAGGCCAGTTCATTTGTATCAATCGTGCCCGCGCTCAGCCGACGGCGCCAAATTATCGTGAGCCCGGAAGTGCCAGTCATCATTGGGCGCACCAATTAAAATGATGCGCTTGGACGCCGTTATTGACGCCTGCTTGACGCCACGCACATTGGCGTGACGGGCGTGTATTCCACCGGGGGTACAGCGTGACCAAATTTCTCAGACTCGCAGGCAGAGCGCCCCTGTGATTGGCGCTTGCTGCTCTGCGCGCGCGATCTGAGCAAAGTTCTCAAACGGCAATCATGCTGAGGGACTCGGGGCCCTCTGGCGGCTTCGTGTCGAACCAAGGGGGTTCCCTCTCACAACGCGCCATCGCTGTGCCAAAATGCTCCGGCACTTTTGGTATTGCGGCATGAAAACCTGAGCGATCTCATGAAATTAGTCAGCCAGTAGTGCGTTGGGCCGAGTCGCGCCGTCTGCGACGCGCCCCACGGCTGCTGGGAGTTCTGTGAGGCTGTGCAAGGGCACATTATGTGTACGGGGACCCAATCCTCGACCAGAGGAAATCTGCCGCCTGCCCGTGTATCTGCCTATGTGACAGGGTGCGGAGGCCCATCTGACACTGCGAGTTCCTGCTACCTGCGTCCAAGCGTCGAGTCCGGCTAAAAACCTGTTGAGATCACCAGCAATCTCTGTGCAGGCAAGAAATCCACATCAAAGCGGCGTCGTTGACGCACTGCCAGAGGACATTTGGTTGCCGGCTCTTGAATCCCCGCAGTGCACGAAGCTCCATTGCACTCTCAGTGGAAAACGGAAGCTCTCGGTGGAAAAGAACGAAACGAAGCAAACATGGCCCGTCAGCGGTCGCAGCCATGCCTTCCCCATATCTGTATATGCTCGCGCACGGCATCCACGCAGCTTTCGGGCCCCAGCGGTTTCGCCCCGCGCATGAACGCCTTACAACGTCGTGTCCGCCAACAATGTCCGGCACTGGTTGTCCACACGACATCATGCTTTGTCTGGCGAGCTGCACAGGCGTGATGCATGTCTCAAGGCCAGGCTGTCAGCCGCAGGCCGCCAATGGATCGCTGAGTTGACAGAGTGGAGAGAGCACAGGGCTGGGGTCACGACGTGTCCATATTGTGTCTTCAATCTCGCCCGATTTCGGGTGATAGCACGGAAAGACGCTTTAACCAGGTGGAAAGCAGCCATGGAGTAGCCCGGTCTTCACGCGCTGTTTTTGCCCAATTATCAAAATATTAATATCTGGATAGATACCTGAAGTTTTGGATAAATGTTGAATAAATATGTGAGGGGACAAAGTTAACAAGCATACCTGCACCCACAAAATAAGAAGGCATCATATGTAATGCCATCAAAAGCGAGGGGCCGCAAACAACAAGCCAGAACCTCCACATCAAATCCTTTAAATGTTGGCACGTAGTCTCTCCTAACCACTCAACTTGTCATGTAATCCAAATGGCTTAGCGGTATGCTTTGTGTTTAAACAACTAAACCACAGCGGTTGAGCTGTTTCTTGCAATGCAGTTAAACTGTGTAAACTCGTTGGAATTCCACGCGCAAGCTGTTTGATCTCATTCAACGAGGGGAAAAAATCGGGAATCCAATTAAGCAGCCTGTTTGGCCACCTTTAGTGCTTTCCTTGGAGAAAAACAAAGCCAAACACTCAGCCCAGACTATAAACTAGCCGATGCAGCGAACCAGAGGCCGTGATGCATCTTCGAACGTTCCTCGTGATGGCTCACATTATATTTCAACTTCGCGAACCTATCCTGGCCTTGCTTGCGAGAACGCCGGAACTATGCAGGCTATATCTCATCGTCCTCTGATTATTCTCACAGTCGATCAGCCACATATTATTGCCACAAGCATATGAGACATGTTGGTGGCTTCATATGAATTACCGCCTAAACTGAAGATATGTAAGCCATCGCATTAGCTTTTAACACCGCTTCAAGCGGCTGCAGATCACTTCGTTTCAGCACCCTGACACCAGCATCCCTAACATGGACCCTCTTCTGACACCGCCCATATTCTCGCGCACGGCTGACACCTCTGACTTGTCCTGCAGCACGTTCGCAGGCTTTCAGCTTTCACGCCTGGCCGGACTTTCGTGACCGCCTCGGTCGCACCGACAGCAGGAGCACGGCACTGCGGGAGGGCCGGCGGTGGCGCGCGCCAGGTGCTGCCCGACCGTGTACAGCCGCGCCGCGCCAGCCCCAGCCGGCCGCACGACGGCTTACACCTGGCTGCACGGAACGCCGGCCTTTGCAGTGCGCTTCGGGCCAGATAAGGCGCTGGACGACCGGTGTTTGACATTTGAGTACATTTCTTCGCGGCGGAGATCCTATACGCCGGTCTTAATGGGAGAAAAACTGTCCTTAAGAGGGCTGTGCAGATGTGTTCAACCCAGATACAGTGTCTGCTACATTGACGAAACCATTTCCTGTACGTTATTACAAGAATTAACTGATAAAATCGTTTGAAGGCAATTTCCTTGTTTCCGCAGTCCTGTCCCAGTTTTCCGGCTTTTCTGATTGGAATTCGGTTGGGTGGCACTCGTGCGCTTAAGACTGGAGAACATTTAAAGAAAAATTATTTGACCTTCGCCTCCCCCAAACGTCGGAACAATGGACATTTCCGGCCGAGCTGCACCCGTCGCAACAACCGCTGGTCGGCTGACACACAGCTTATCCCGAATCCCTGCCGGCGCGACCGACAGCTCGACGTCGGGCGATGCTGATACAGGTGGGCAGCGGACCGGTCACGCCGTGCTGAGATCATTGGCGCCGTGCTGAGATCATTAGCTCACCTGCGGCAGAGGTCTGCTGCGGTCAGGGCGCCGATCCCCGCACTCGCCCCCAACACGCGATCACGGGGTGGTGTAGCTCGGCTTAGCTCAGCTCAGTTTAGCTCAGCTCAGCTCAGCGCAGCTCAGCTCGCTCAGTTCAGCCCAGCTTTGCTCCCGTGGCTCAGCGCAGTCCACGTAGCTCGGTGGCGCGGCTACCCGAGCCGCGGTGCTGCTGGTACTGGCTCGCAGCTGACTGCTGTCGTCAGCTCGCTCGTTCGTCTCACGCCAGCTCAGCGTCCTCGGAACAGTTCAGCTCCATTCGATACAGTTCAGCCCCAAGCGCAATGTCCCAGCTCCGCTCCAAACAGCTCGACCCCACTCGGCGCAGCGCAGCTCAGTTCAAAGCAGTTCAGGTCCACTAGCCAAAGTTCACTCGCATCACCGCCCAGCTCAGCCCCAGCACCAGCCAGACCAGTTCGGCCTCCGCCCAGCTCAGCCCGGCACGGACCGGCACACGGCAGACCAGGGGCTGCGTTGTCGGGTCGGCCGCCGCGCGCGCGCGCTCCCCCGCCGGCAGCCGGCGCAACACTGGCGCGGGGCGGGCGTCCGGCGGCGGCGGTGGCAGCGGCGGCGGCGGACCGGACGGTCCTGTCGGGAGGAGCCCAGACACACATCCGGAGCCGGGGCAGCGCGCACGGTCGCGCACCGCCCATTGCACCGCTTGGTACACGCGGACCTGGGAGACCAGAACACAATAAAGTTTCGACGTGTTTATTACCAAGGAAGAGCGATGCACCAATGAATTCTCAAGATCAGCCCTAGGATCGGTGATTCGGAAAATCATTACCTCGTGTCGTGCTTGAAGAAGGCCGCAATGGCCCATCGTGGTAACGTGTATTCATATTTTCTTGTAAAAATTGCATCGACCACGTGGGTCCAGCGGATCATACCGATCACGTGACTACGTGAACGACCATAAAGATATCGTATCGGCGTAGGCCCCGCAACGGCGTAAGCGCTGGTGCTTTGCACGAAGGTCTAATAAAAAATATCGCTGGTCTGCATTGCACAGGACAAACCTGGACTTCATGCACGTTACACTTCGGAAATTATCCGACATCTCTCCTTGGAGAAAGGACAACCAAACTGCCCCTGAACAAACGGCATGAAAGCAGATGGAGGGTCCGGACTGACGACATCTGGATCGCGTGCAGATGTCGGCAGTCCGATGTCGTCTTGCCGTGGTGAAACATGCCTCGCACTACCTCTGCCGTAGCCGGAGAGGTGCTGGCGGCCCCTCTCCGCCTCCCCCCGTGACCTAGCGTCTCGTGCGCTGGACATGTCCTGTTGCGCCTCCGCCGTAGTCGGAGAGGTGCTGGCGGCCCCTCCCCACCTCCACCCTGATCCAGCGCCTCGTGCGCTGGACATGTCCTGTTGCGCCTCCGCCGTAGTCGGAGAGGTGCTGGCGGCCCCTCCCCACCCCCACCCCTGATCCAGCGCCTCGTGCGCTGGACATGTCCTGTTGCGCCTCCGCCGTAGTCGGAGGGGTGCTGGCGGCCCCTCCCCACCTCCACCCCTGATCCAGCGCCTCGTGCGCTGGACATGTCCTGTTGCGCCTCCGCCGTAGTCGGAGAGGTGCTGGCGGCCCCTCCCCACCCCCACCCCTGATCCAGCGCCTCGTGCGCTGGACATGTCCTGTTGCGCCTCCGCCGTAGTCGGAGAGGTGCTGGCGGCCCCTCCCCACCTCCACCCCTGATCCAGCGCCTCGTGCGCTGGACATGTCCTGTTGCGCCTCTGCCGTGGTCGGAGAGGTGCTGGCGGCCCCTCCCCACCTCCACCCCTGATCCAGCGCCTCGTGCGCTGGACATGTCCTGTTGCGCCTCTGCCGTAGACGGAGAGGTGCTGGCGGCCCCTCCCCACCTCCGCCCCTGATCCAGCGCCTCGTGCGCTGGACGATCGCGCTTGGCGGCAGCCGACCGGCGAGGTAATCATGGTAATGCGACGGGATCAAATCACGGCCTGGCCCAATATGGCCGGCGCAGACCGGGCCCGGCCCTCGACAGGAATGCGTAACACTGACGCCACCGACCGCCACCGGAGGCGCGCACAATTACAATTACAATTACAAATTAGCGTCGCGCGCGACCGTTCGCCAAATGCTTTCCGCATCCAATTCGGCGGGTGTAATAAAACTTTCCGCGCAAGCACGGATCGGACACCGGCGTGCTTTAAATCAGAGACAGCGAGTTAATTGCATTAGCATCGCAGCTTCATCACAACAATTTTTTTGTCTGCATATCATAGGAGGCCTTGCGTTTTCGGTAGGGCAGAAGGTCCGGAGGCGCGGATTAGCACCGATTTAGCACGTGCTTTGTGCAGGCGTAGAATTTCCCCGCTTGGAATGGCCCACAGTTCATGTCATTCTGATTGCAAAAGGCTTAAGTATGTTATTAGTGTGTTGCCCTCGGGTAGTCCTATGCTATCTACAGACGCGGCCATTTTGTCCGGCTTCCATCATGTTTCTGCAGCGACAGTGCAGGTCGATAAAACTTTTATGCCCTCGTGGTGATTGAACGAGAGTAAACAACAAAAGGGAAACAGAGTCGTGTGCGGAGATAAGGTGGCTGGAGCGGACAGACTGTGAGAGTATTTGATGACATATCCTACCAGCAACACATCGCTCCAGCGGAAATATTACAGCCACAATCGCTGGCTAGATTACAGATATCTGACTACACATATGTGTGTGTGTGTGTCATTGCGGATTTACAATGCACCCAGCTGCTGAGGCTACGTGGCATCGCCTGCCTCTCACTCTGGCAGGAGCGGCGGGCACCGCGAGGAATCGAACCCCGTACCTCCAGTTTCCCAGACGTCCAGTGGTAAACGCGGACGCGTTAACCACTGCGCTGCCGGAACCCTCTCTGTCTACGCATAATATCTATGTATGGCTGCTGGTATTGAACGTCTGTTTTACAACTAAAATAACAAAGAGGACTCAATCGTCCACTGTTTATCTCGGACTGCTATCCCGGGCGCATGAAAGTACATGAACGGGCCTTTTGAGTTTTCCGTACATATTTGCAGACTTCTGAGCATGTGCTTGGCGGGATGCTTTCTCGTGTGTGACACGGAACAGGGAATTGACGTACTCCCTCAGAAACTGTCAAAATCCACTCACACACTCAAACACGGTACACTTGAAATTAGCGGACACGTCAGATGGCGGTCCTCAAGAGCCGCCCGACGCGGCAAATGCGCCGCTGAGGTCCCGTGCGGCGATGGCGGCGCGCGTGCCCCGGCGCCGCTCGAGCAGCGCCCGCGGCGAGGGATTGCCTCACGTCCGCCAAGGTCGCGCACCATGCCAGGTTAAACAGTCAATCAGTTTGGGCCGGCGTGGAGCGCTGATGCCGGCTAAGGCTGGCTTCCCCTGCGCCGGTACGGTCCTATCGGCAATGCATACTGAACGACGCATTTGCATCCCCGCCAGCAGAAGACGTTTGTCTGGGAGGGGAGCGGGGGACTGAAAGGGGTCTGAAGGGGAGCCGGGGCTGTGGCAGCGAAGAAGGGGGCCAAGATGGGTCCAGACGCCTACGGATCCGGACGTCCAACTGCGAAAGGTTCCGAATGGGCTCAGACGGATATAGTGCACGTACGAAGGTGTGAGTCAAATGGTCAATCGCAACACCTGCACTGGGTGAGTACCACGACATACGAGACCAGTGACAATGATGCTCGCGTCCAATCACACACGTGTCAAAACAGACACACTGAATAAAGCAGGGTCAGCGCAGCATCGTCGGTTCCTCTGAAACCCGCCAAGCCTCTTCGGTTACGGCGCGGCGAAAAGGTACAGCATTTGGAATGTACATGGATAGGAACGAATAACAAACGTTTGGAATGCGCCTGAAGCACCCGTATGCGGACTCCAAAGTTTAGAATGCAGCCGCACAAGAACGGGCAAAAAGGTATTTTATTTCTCCTGTGCCTGAGGCATTCTCCGCGTTCGCTCGAGCCACACGCAGTAACACTTAATGCGTCTGAACTAAATCTCCTCTGGGCTAGCGAGACAGCGAGCCCGTCACCAGCCCGCGTCACATCGGCTTAGCGAGACGGCGAGCCCGTCACCAGCCCGCGTCACATCGGCCTAGCGAGGCAGCGAGCCCGTCACCAGCCCGCGTCACATCGGCCTAACGAGACAGCGAGCCCGTCACCAGCCCGCACCACATCGGCCTAGCGAGACGGCGAGCCCGTCACCAGCCCGCACCACATCGGCTCAGCGAGACATCGAGCCCGTCACCAGCCCGCGTCACATCGGCTTAGCGAGACAGCGAGCCCGTCACCAGCCCGCATCACATCGGCCTAGCGAGACAGCGGGCCCGTCACCAGCCCGCGTCACATCGGCTTAGCGAGACAGCGAGCGCGTCACCAGCCCGCACCACATCGGCCTAGCGAGACAGCGAGTCCGTTACCAGCCCGCGTAGCATCGGCCTGGTTTACGACGGGAGATCGCTGCGGTTCCAAACTGGCCCGGAGCGCAGTCTGGGCCGCCTTGCTCGCGGCCGTCGCAACCCGACACTGTGGACCTGATTACGTTCTGTTGTTGTGCGTCGTCTGCGGCGGAGGCGCCAGTGCAGCTGCAGACGCCGCCTGGCCGCCAGTTTTTGCGGCCAGCGGCTACCTGAGCATGCGGCAACCGTGCGTGAAAATAACGAGCGAGCCGTCTGTTGCATCACTCCTCAATCGCCTTCGGGGACCGCGCATGCGCGCGGAAGCACCCATCCGGAGGGCGCAAATAGACTGACACGCTGCTTTGTCCGTCTAAGTGAGGTCTTTGATTATAGAATGATGATATGACTGGCGTCGGTTAATTCTTCAGACACATGCCTTCCGAATCTGTCGCGAATTCTTGTAATACCAGGGGCATGTAGATGCGTGGTTTGATGCTGGACCCTCACAATACCAACGCGGTGCCACACCGCGTTGCACATTGTGTTTTGGCGTCTCTGTGTCGGGTTGATCGAACAGCCTGCCGCATCGCATGCCGCACAATGCCTCTTGTGCGTTGGCCGCCCACTGTCGAATGATCTGCTCCATCCCTCTGCCGCGCGGCGGCGCACGTGCCTCTATGCCTCTGCACAGGGCGGCGTGGGTGCTCTGACAGCACGAGCCAGCAAGCTAGCGCAGCGCAGCGCTGGTATACTCGTCAAAATTTACGGACATTTATTTTTCTGTAGTGGCGTAATATGGAATGCCACGGCGAAGCTCTTTACCACCCTTCCGTGGCCCAAAAAGCCCCAAACACATCACGCAGTCCTGGCTCGTGCGCAGCGTCGCTACAACCGCCCGACGTCGGCACCCGACTGACGAGAACCAACGGCCACCCTCCTGCGCCGTTCTCTCCGCCGGCCGGGACCGGCGCTGGCATCCTCCTGCCCTCTGTCCGGCTCCCCGCCGGCCCCACCATGGCCCGCGCCGCCCGACCGCCGGCTTATCCGCGTACGCAGGCGGCCCCGCCCGACCGGCGTGATTTAGCGCCGATAAAACGGA